TAACGTTGAAACAACACGTTGATTTCAAGTTGATTTTCCGTTAGTTTTGAAAGAATGACGCATCTGACGTTGGTTCAACGTTAATTCGATGAGCAAAACAATGTCAGATCAACGTTGTTTCGATGTCATATTTCCACGTTGATTCAATGTCAGTCTGCTATCTGGGTAGTTGCCTAGCAATTGTATTTACAGTCATGTTGTAAATGTGCTAAATCGGTCTACAAAACTAATGTAGTCCTACAAAGCAACTCAAATGATCTTGTCTGAATATTTTTGAAAAAATTAGACTTTTGTGAAAAAAAGTCATGGAAATGAAAACTACATTTCTGAGATTAAATCTCACTGAAGCAGAACTTTCACATGCTGGCATTTTAATCATAACTCTAGCGTCTAGACGGACAGTTGGTTGATTAAATAATTATAGATGTCAGTGTCATGTGTACTAAGAAACATAACTGCATAGATTTCATAATTTCCATATAAACCTGTGGATTATTTTTAGCCTATGTGAGCCAATGACTTGCTGTAGGTTTAAAAAAAAAAAAAAGGCAAATTGTTGTTGTTTTTGCAGCACGCATGCAGGTAAATAATTATATGTAGCAAAACAGCGCCACCCAAAGTGCGGGATGAGATTTACATCTACCGTTGCCACATCAATAGATGGCGCTGTTGCACGAAGATTCAAGTCTGTTTTAACATCTTGCGCTCTGAATGTAAACTAAAATGATTTCATCAGCATTATCTTAGCGACCTCCACATGTGTTTTGTGAAAGAGAGGAAAATTGGTTATCTTGCTTTAATTCAAGCACCCGGTGTAGCAAATCGTCAGAGTTTGCAGTGTAATCAGGAGCAGAAATTACCCGAGATAAGAGCCATAAGAGAAAAAATACCATCCTCGAGCATTTGAAACTGTTAATTTAAGAAGTGCACTGTGGGCTCTGCAGATTTTTTAGCTTGATTTACTCATTCTAATGGGCCTTTAGGGAACTAATTGATTCTGAGAGCTCTATAAGACCCTAAATCAAGCCCAGGCGCTTCAGATAACCAGAGATGCAGTTAGCAGTTTTTCATCTGCAGAGAAATGGAGAGAGAATCAGAAAATCTCCTTTCACACACAAATTCATATTCTTTTTCTGTCTTTGTCATTTCACACAAAGCATTGGTCATGAGTGAGTGGCTGTGTGGATGTGATGGATATATTGGTTTGGCTGTAATTCAAGGCAGAGGATTTAATGTGTGGCGTGAGTCATCGGGTCACACAATAATTCAGCAGCTGTTTCCTCTTGCAGATGTAGAGGTTGCCAAGCATTAGCCCATGGCAAGAATATCTCCTTGACTCTCTGCTTGCGTCTCTGTCTACATATGTTACATTTGACATTTTAATAATGGCAGTGTACAGAACAACATGTTTGAT